GGTGAGGACTGAGTTATTCAGGACCAGCCAAGAAGCCACTCCTTGGCAACTTAGAGCAATCAGCACCCTGTGCAAAATGACAACCACCATGTACTGACGATTGCCAGTATGCCAGCCACTGAACTCAGCACATCCACATTTGGCTCATTTCACCCTCACAGCAACCTATGAGCAGGCCTCTGAGAGCCTTTGTGACATCTGCCGGCTTTCAGGTTAAGAGGCTCCAAGTCCGCCCTTGGATCAACTGATTCGGTGGAAGAGTGGATGTCAATTCAGATTGATAGTGCATCAAAAATACACAAATAATAAAAAAATGCAAATATTAACAGACTAAAATCTGTAAAACAATATCTAAACTTTCTTCAATATTTTAGATGTATAATATTGATAGTTAATTTCCCCTAAATTTTTTCTTAAAAAGATAAATTCAGAAAATTGTGTAACTGAAAAGAGTTACTATTTTTTGTTGTTTTATCAGGCCCAGGTGAGGCTGGACCTCACAATTGCTGCTGTGCAGGGCCAGAGTGCTAACCACTGACCTATAGCAACCAGTTTATATTTTTAAAAGATTGAGAGGGATCTTGGTCTGTCCTCTATCAGCTTAAAACCAGAAATTCTCCTTTGTAATATTCTATTTATCCCCTTAGTCCATTGTGTTGTTATAAAGCAGCGGTTCTCAAACTGTGGGTTGCAACCCCTTTGTAATAATGAAAATACATCCTGCATATCAGATATTTACATTACGATTCATAACAGTAGCAAAATTACAGTTACGAAGTAGCAATGAAAATAATTTTATGGTCGGGGGTCACCACAACATGAGGAACTGTATTAAAGGGCCTCAGCATTAGGAGGCATTAGGAAGGTTGAGAACCACTGTCATAAAGGAATACCCAAGGCTGTGTAATTTATAAAGAAATGAGGTTTATTTGGCTCACATTCCGTGGGCCAGCACCTGCTTCTGCTTCAGGTGAGGGCTTAGGCTGCTTCCACTCATGGGGGAAGGCTAAGGGGAGCTGGCATGTGCAGAGGTCACATGGTGAGAGAGGAAGAAGGTGGGGGAGAGGGTAGTGCTAGGCTCTTTTTTAACCAACAACTCTGGTGGGAATTGATAGAGAACTCACTCCACCCCCTAATTCAGGAAAGGGATGAATCCATTTTGAGGGATCTGCCCCCATGGCACTAACACCTCCCATTAGGCCCTACCTCCAACACTGGATCATATTTCAACATGAGATTTGGAGGAGAAAAACATCCAAAGGGTAGCATCCCCATAAACATCATATTAATCATATTAATAATGGAAAAGATATAGACATAGGTTAATAAATTCATAATCCATGGTTCAAAACAAGAAAGAGAAACTCTTCATGAGTTAGAAACTCACAGGCAGCCCTCTACGAAGGGGACGAATAAGTAGCCCAAGTGGAACCCATGGGCTGCCACTCTAGCGGGTGCCCTCGGGCCAAAGCTGCTACCCAGAGGCTTCAGGGTCACTTAAGACTGTGATAGTCCCTCACTGACATAGCTTCAGTCTCCTCCTTGGGCCCCACACTGCCACCTGCAGGCCACTATTGCCATTGTATGGCTAGTGACACACGGCTAGGAGCTGTCACAGCCCAGAGCATGCGTAGACCTCTATCAGTGGTAAGATTACAACCACCAATCACCAAGTATATAAGGAAGACAGGGTCCATGAAAGAGGCAACAAAGAACCTACCCCAAGGAAATTGTTACAGAACAATCGGAAAAATGCCTTAAAATACATATATTAAATCATCAGAGTTTAAAGAGTGAAGGAAGGATTTGTGCAATGAAAACAGGTAGTTTCAGAAAAGACACTATTAAAGAACTTAAAATGGAAAATGTGATAGTAAAGTCAAACAAAAAAAAACCAAAAGATAAATTATTCATGAACTGGATAATTATGCCAAGACACCCCTCTCCTAATGCAGCACAATGAAAAGATAGAATGTGTAAACACAAAGTTTAGGGATACAGAGCGTTGATCCAGCCATTCCTACATCCACTTAATACAAATTCCAGAAAGAGAGAATGAAGAGACGTTTTGATAACATTGGCAGGTAATTTATTAGAGCTTAAAAAAGACATGAATCCAGACATTGAAAGAGCTCACGGATGCTACTTTTTAAAGTTATACTTTATAAAAATCATGATTAAACTTTTGAAAATCAAAGTCCTAAAAATTAAATTACCTACAATGAAATGAGAATCTACTGACATCAGACTGCTCATCAACAATGTCCGATGCAAGGTGTCAATCACTGAGTAAACATAAGTTTGAAGCAAGCATTCTATACTCATCCAGACTATTATTCATACATCAGGGCAAGAAAAGATAATTATAGGCATGTAAGACTAAGAATGTTTGCCATCCACTGACCCTCCATTAAGAAGCTATTCAATTTTGCACTCCAATAAGAGTACAAATTCACATCGTGAGTTCATGAGCATGACATCCCCTGAAGTTGTGCAGTGCACAACCTGAGCAGCTGTATGTAGGAGTCTTGGTGGCTTCTTCCTTTGCACAGTGAGGGGCTCTGACAAGTTGAGGGATAAGTCCTCTACTCCTTCCTGTTTCTACCCAGCCTCAGGGGCAACCAAGCTTACAGATGTTTTTCTGGCTAAATCCCTTTAACCCTGTCACCTTCAGGACCTTAAAACTCATTTCTAGACATCTTAGATAGCATTGGGAATGGGACAGAAATAGGATAGAAACAGATTTAGATCCCTCCTCACCTGGGAGCAGAAGCCAAACTGGCCAAGTCATGTTTGACAACTCCTCACTCCGCTTGGTTCCCAGATTCAGTCCTGATACTTCCTCATCCCCTGGCTGAGCTCATCTCTGCACCTGCTGACCAATTTCTTGGCTAGCACACTAGACCAGACTCCTGGTCTCCCATTCTTGTCTCAATGTCTTCCCAACCCTGAGCCAAAGTGGCATTTCCTATACTTCTGTGTGCATGAAGGTGTCCACCAGCACAGGCACACAAGCTTGCTTCCCTCACCAACCTCACGAGCCTTGGGGGTAGACATTGTCTTCCACACTCTAGGCTGTGATCACACAGCTGAAGTGGAGACCTAGTTGTATGCAACTTTTCATAGGTATGTACATTTTTCTTGGGAGAGGGCCCACGGCTTTCGTAACTTCATAAAGATCCAGTGGGTTAAGAACCACTGGAGTGTTGCACATGTGTTCATTTTTGGTAGGTGATGATCCATTTTTAGAATGTGGGTTCCCATTTGTCAAATATTTATGGAGCAACTAGGCACCATACGCACTGGGGATACAGTAGTGGAAAAAAAAAAAATAAAGGCAAAATCCCAGCCTCAGGGGGCTGTTCCTAGGGCCAGAGTCAACCTGAAGCAGATGAGGCATCGAAGATTCTAAGTGGTGAACTCTGAGTTTCAAGTTCTAAGAACTCTACACAGTTCTAAGTTGCAAACTCTACGAAGATTCAAATAACAAGTTACTGATGGCAGGCACAGCAGTGGTGACAATAGTGTCCACAGTAGGAGCTCAGGGGCCAGCCCACAGCTGCTCCCAAGTAAACCTCTCCTTGCTGAGTCCAGAGGCAAAGGTGGTGGGCTGCAACAGACAGTGGTGAGGAGGTGGGAGAGGAGAGCCAAGCCACCCACACGCCACACTGCCAAAGCACTGGCTCTCCAGCCCTCAGAGCTCACATCAGCTGGAAGACGGGGGTGCCCAGGCCCAGACTAGGCTCTCACCACCCTTCTCCCAGCTGAAAGCACAAACAAGGGCCGTCTTCTCAAAAGAGCAACTGTGAGTTTGGTCCCAGATAGCATGTCTGTTTGTGAGAGAATGAGGAGCAGGCCATGCAGCCAGAGAGGACATTCCTGGCTCAGGGGGCAGGAGGAGTCAGAGTTCCCATGTGTAAGGCAGCCTGGCCACTGTAGGGCCTCACAGCGGGGCAGTGCAGACGCCAGATGGAGAGGGCCTGGGCAGTGTGGATCTCCTCCACATAAATCTGAAACCTGCCTGCCCTGGAGAGGCTCTAGATATTTGGAGGCTCCCAGGTAGGTCAGGGGAGATGCAAAAAGGTAGAAAAAGACATTCAGCCATATCATTGGCTACGTCTGAAAGAGGTGGGAACCCAGGCAGGGCTCCTTGAACCTCTGGCCCGGCCACCATCCCTGGGAGCTAGCTCACTCCACACACGGTACACATCTACTCCACCCCTCTAGTCACGATGCCCCTCTAATCATGGTGCCCCTCTAAGTCATACCCAGTTAGCTCTAGGACACTGTGGGACTATACTTGCATCAGGGGACAACTGCTCGTGTGACCAGAAATTGTAGCCTGGGTTTAAAGACCGAACACAGGTAGTCAGCAGTGGGTAATTCACAGCCAGATGGGGCCTCAGCCCACAGGCTTTGGGAGGCTGAGCAGAGAAGGGTGAGCTCTGAGGAGGGACAAGGGAGGCCAGAAGGATGAGGAGGATCAGGACAATAGAGTCAGTGACAGACTGGTAACCCACAGGGTCCCTCAGTTCTTGGTAGTGGCCTCCAGGAGGGTAGGTGGGGACAAGCTCTGCCCCATTGCTGGAAGCCTGGTAAATGCACCTCTGCCTCCCACCACAGTGGCAGGGGTATAGAAGCACCTTGGTCTGCAGCTCCTGCTTTGGAGCAGGTTGAGGACCTGCACCCTCTGAGGTCCTCATGTGTTTGGGGGGGCCCTGTGGCTAGACTGTTGCCTGATTCTGCCCACACCTCACTGTAGATGAGAGGTGCGCCTTCTGCCCTGCCTCCCCAGCGCCCCTGCAGAAAGGCACTGCCCATCTGCAAAACGGCTTCCCAAGTGCAAGCTGCAATTCTGCAAGCACTTCCTGGGGCCCTAGAGGCAGGTCCTGGAGAGAGGGGAAGCAGAGCCCCAGGGAGCACCCCCTCTCCCTTGATAACCTTGGCCCCAGCCCCAGCCAGAGTCACTCTCTCCTGTCAGTCCTCCTCCTCCTGCTGGGTTAGCCCCCAGCCTTGTCTCCTACCCGATCCAGAGCTAGCCGGAGGGCACTCTTCACAGTCTCCACATTGTTCAGAACATTATATCGACTCAGGGCCACCAGCCGATCAAAGTCCTGGGGTTCATAGGTGAAGTTCCTCATGCCATAGGGGGTGTCTGGCCCATTGATGACAAAGTCTCCAAAGGCCTTCTCCTCAGCTGTTTGCCGTTCCACACCTGTTGTGGGGTGCGGGGAGCAGAGGAGAGGCCAGGCTGGGGCACTCTGTGAAACTGGCTGGTATTGTCCCAGGACATCTGGCTGGTTTCATGCAGCCCTTGCTTGGACCCACATCTCAGCTCTTAGGCATATCAAGGGGAGATGACCCCGAGTGGACACTGAGGTCAGGAAGCAGAGGGCACTAGTGGGTAGTAGGGCCCTGCTGTGAGAACAGCATTCCATCATCCCCCATGGTTCTGTGGGTGAGACCCAGGCCGAGGGCTTTCCCTTACCTGGCGCCAGGTGTGTTCGGAAGGTACGGTTGACAAGAGGGAAGTGCAGCACGATAGGTGAGCAGGGGTCATCAGGATTGGCGAACAGATAGCACTCCCGGGGTTCCTCCAAGTCCTCAGGGCCCACCTCTATACTAGGGAAGGGGATTCCTCGGTCCAGGCAGTACTTCTCAGTCATCTGTAAGACCTAGGCAGAGAGGCAAGTTTCTTACCGTGCCTGCCCCCAACCTGGGCTCAACAGATTCAGGCTTCAAAGCCAGCACTACCTCTGACCAGCTTAGTGAGGTCAGGTAGGTGATATCACCTTTCTGAGTCAGATTCTTCATGTGTAAAATAAAAATAAAGATAACTGTCCAGTGGGATTGTTGTGAAGATTAGCAATAATCAATAATGACCAATAAAGGATAGTCTAGGCTGGGCACAGTGGCTCATGTCTGTGTCTGTAATCCTAGCACTCTGGGAGGCTGAGGTGGGAGTATCACTTGAACTCAAGAGTTCAAGACCAGCCTGAGCATGAACGAGACCCCATCTCTATTAAAAACAGAAAAATTAGCTGGGCATTGTAGCAGGTGCCTGTAGTCCCAGCTACTCTGGAGGCTGAGGTAGGAGGATTGCTTGAGCTCAGGAGTTTGAGTTTGCTGTGCTGTGTGTAGGGTGACACCACAGCACTCTAGCCTGGGCAACAGAGTGAAACTCTGTCTCAGGAAAAAAAAAAAAAAAAACATATCTAGTCAGTCATCACCATTCCTCACCATAACTACTGTGGCCTTCCCTTCTCCATCCACTCCCTGCTCCTTGTTAGGGGCTGATTTCAATTTCAGGAGGCTGATATGCTACAGAAGGCGAGCGTCAGGTGAGGGAGGCTGCATCAATCCCCCAATCCCAAGCTCTTACTGGGCCCAGGAGGGCCAGGAGGAGGCCAAAGAGGAAGGGCTGCCCCAGCACAACCAGCACACATATGACAGCAGCATCTGTCCAGAAGCCTGCAGAGTTCGTAGAGTCTCCCTGAGGGGACCCTGATGGCTGTTGTTACCACAGTAACAGAGGGAAAGCAGACCCAAACCCAGACCACAGCAGGGAATTCTATTGTGGATGGGGCAGGGTCTAGAATAGGGTTAAGGTTGGGGTCTCTTATTGACAAGCACAGAAGACTCCCAAGGACACTCTGTGGCCTCCTCTTCCTCAGCAGTTTTTCAGTTGGGGAGACCTGTCCTGCTGCTGTGTTTGGAAGGCAGCTCCACCATGCACAGAGTGTAACCCAGGCTGCCCTCATGGGCAACCCTCACATGCCCAGCCCGGCCCCTTGGCAGAGCCTTCTCCTTCTCCCTCCCTTCCCCTCACCACTCTGCAGGAGCCCCACCATCACCTCACCTCAAAAGGGGCTGTCAAGGAGTAGTCAAAGGACAGAATGAGGTCCACTGCTCTCTGGGGCAGCAGAGCCAGTGGGAACGGAGAGTTGATGGCAAAGCCTCCATCCACCAGGTATAGGCAGTCCCGCATGGGGGTGAGCTGGTTGGGGAAGGCATCCGGGTGTGTGTCTGCAAGGTCACATGCACAGGGACAAACATGATGGCTCTTGCCAGCAGCCCCCTTCTCTCTGCATTCTCATTCTCTCTGTAGAGTTCTCTCTCCCTTGGCCCCTCTCTGATAGCCTTGGGGTCTCTCACCCCAACCACTCAGTCCCGCCACCGTCCACCTTCCAGCATAGTAATCAGGGTACCTCCACATCAGCACTGGGCCACAGGAGACTAAAGCTCATTCCCCTAGACCAATGCCGGTGCTAGCCCCAGTGAGCCAGAGGCACAGGCAAGAAAGGACCCTCACCCACGTTGCCCAGGGCAGAACCCACCTTTCCAGGCCACAAACTTCCTGCCAGCCACATAGTCCTTGTGCAGGCAGAGGCCTCGAGTGAAGTTCGAGTTCTGGGCAGAAGTGAAGCGGGAGGTGAATATGTCCAGCACAGCCTGGGAGAAGGGGCCTTGTGGGGTGAAGAGCCTCGTCCGCAGCCGTGCAGGGTCATGCAGCTGGAGCTTCTGGCAGTCATCTAGGCAGGCACAGGGACAGTGGAATATGGTAAGAAGTGGTGCCTCCTGTGTCCAATGACCTCGAGGCTCAGGCCCCTCCCCCACATGTGCACCCTCTCCACCTCCCTCTTCCCGGGCCTCCGACTACTACTTCATACAACCCCTTTTAAATAACCTTTTTTTGGTATCCCCTATGTTTTGAAAGTTGTCTATGATATTGCATTTATGAAATAATTTATCTCCTACCCTTTTGAAAATAAGGGTAGGAGATACAGCTTCCAAACATAATTATGTTAATTATTAATAATAAATATAAATAACTAATAATTATTAATAATTAAAATATCATTAATATATTATATAAATAATTTTATAATATAATTAATAATTAACATAAAGTTAACTGAGCAGCAACTATGTGCCAGCACTGTGCTAGGCGCGAGGCACACAAAGGTGATGGGGGCTAGGGCCAGGGCCTGGGCATACAGGCTCGAGGCTTCCTTGTGGGGGGCACGAGGAAAGTGTCACATAAAGAGACGATAAATCATAACAATGCCCCAAGGTACAGACAACAGTGAGGATGTGCATGGGGTCCCAGGAAACCACAGTGGTAAGACCCTCAATCAGCCTGAGGGATGGAATATAAAAGAGAAGACATCTGACTGACAAGCAGCATCTGAGCTGAACAGAGGAGCAGACCACAGTGACCCTTGGGGGACAGGTGGGAAAGGTGTTCTGTGCAGCAGGGCTCTCGTGGGCCACTTAAGTACCAGTAACGAAGAGCCACTGGAGGGTGTGGACAGAGTTCATGTTCTTTGCTGAGTGCAGCTAATGGGAGCCCAAAGCACAGAACTCAAAGGAGTGGCTCTACCACACCTCTGGGCTCCTAGAGACCCTGAACTAGAAGTCATTTCCTCAGGACATCCCTGAATCCAAGGGGACAGCCAAGTCTGTCACCATCCCCTCCCTCATTCTTCATGCCTCTGCCCGGACCCCATTGCTGGTATATGAAGGGGCGAGGTCTCTACCCTCACCTGCAATGTTGACACTGCCCCTGTGCCACTCCAGGAAGCCCAGGCCTGAGCCTGAGGTCTTCAGGAAGATCTCATCCAGGCTGGCTGCGAAGGCGCTGCCCCACATTCCTAAGGAGACAGGCAGGACCCCCCACCCTTGTCAGGGCTTGGCCTGGGTACCTATCTGTCCCCAGCCCTGCAGCCGAGACTCACCCTGCAGATAGCAAATCCGGGGCTCAGGCCGCAGTTGCAGTAGTCGTCCCATGAAGAACTCTGAGCCGAAGAGCTCGGTGGGAATGTAAGCCCCGTACTTGGGAAAGCCGACCTCGTAGGGGGTGAACTCGCACCACTCTGCAGGCCAAGGGAAGGGGAGGTCACCAGGAGCCTTCCCTTGTGCTCAGCAGGAAGCAGCTTTGCCAACAAAAGGTGGCAGCAACCCCATTGTGCTCCACGGCCCCTGTGTGTGGAGCCTCCCACTTGCACCCTGATGGCCCTGGCCTCTCATGCCCTCCCATGGCCCAGCCCCACTAGCTCTCTCCCTCGACCCCACACCAAGGCACCTGCAAAATCTTCTGCACTTATGTTGGTGCGGACGTTGACGCAGGCATAGATGGGATACGGGTTCTGACCCTGGCTGACAGCCTCCTGCTGGTCAGACAGCTTCGCAGGGTTTTCCTGGGCAGGAAAGGAGGGAGGCAGCTTGGCTTCATCCCCACATCTGAGATCATCCCCCATGGGGTGTGGCATGGCCACAGCAGACTTCGGGTTGGCAAGGCCAGCGCTATGAACACAAACTCTGCTGTTATTGCACAACAGCTCCTCCTCCCTCTAGGTCCAGGGACTGTGGCAAAAGAGGGAGGCCCGTGAGATTCTAAGGGCCAGTTTGAGGGATAAAATGGCCCTAACAAAATACTTATGATATATAACTAATTGCTACAAGTCTGTAACTAAAACCAAGACTACAGTAGCTCAATACTTACAGATAAATTAATTTGGTCACCTTGTTTTTGGCTGTTGGTTTTCAATTATATTGCTTACAAGGTTTTAAGGAGTTAATGAGTGTCTGTCAACTTGAATTCCTATCTGGTCCAAAATGTTTAATTGGCTGTTAGCTTTTATGCTTCTAAACCTCTCCTTGGCCATAGGGGCTTTGTTCTATAAAACTTGGATTCAGTCCAAAGGCTGCACTCAAGGATCCAGAAGGCCACATCTGGCCCCAGGGCTGCAGGTTCCCTACCCGTGGTAGATGGACCTAGGGCAAATAAGCTGCTCCACCCCATCAAGGATGGGACAAAAGAAGGTTGGTCATCCCTATCGCCTACTGTCTCTGCTGAGTTAGTAAAAGGGGGGAACTAAAATCCTAAATCCTCTGCTAACTGAATGGACCCATCTTGGCACAGGGGAGCCAACACCCCTAAACACTTTAAAACTGAGTTCCCAGGCATGATGGGATGTGAAAGATATAAAGCACAATTACAAATGCATTATTTCCTTTCATAAATATCATGATTCCTCCTATAGCTTGCTGAATGTGTAGATTTGACTGCCCTGCTCAATATAGAATCTTGTTCCTTTCATCTGTCCTTGGAAGCACATATGCCTGGCTTCTGGCCAGAACTCTGCTTCCCAGCCTGTTGGAATGGCCACCCAACAAACAGTCTGCTATCCTTCATGAGAAATAAAGCTCTTCTTTCTCCTAAGGCTAATTTCTTTTTTTTTGAGACAGAGCCTCAAGTTGTCCCCCTGGGTAGAGTGCTGTAGCATCACAGCTCACAGCAACCTCTAATTCCTGGGCTCAAGTGAGTCTCCTGCCTCAGCCTCCCAAGTAGCTGGGACCACAGGCGCTCGCCACAACGCCCAGCTATTTTTTGGTTGCAGCCATCATTGTTGTTTGGCAGGCCCAGGCTGGATTTGAACCTGCCACCTTAGGTGTATGTGGCTGGCGCCTTAGCCACTTGAGCCACAGGCACCGAGCCCTAAGGCTAATTTCTAAATTAACCCTCATTAATTTTTTAGTTCACAGAAGCCAGAAAAATGACTGGTGTCAGCCCACCCTGGCTTCTCCTCCTTTCCCCCAGAAGAGCCAGAAAAAAGTGTTAGCGCAGATCTTAGCCTGAGGGATAAGGCAGAAACCACTGGGGTAGGCGAGGATGGAAGGAGTGGAAAGGAGACTGTATTTCCTTGTTGTTCTCCTCTTACCTCCTGATACAGGAAATACTCGAGGAGGAGGCCCCAGAAGTCAATGAGGGACACACCGTGGTTGCTGGGTTCCCGGACCCCCAGGTGCTGAGTGTAGTGTTGTAGCTGCTCTGTGGACATTGCCCCCAGCTTACTGCTGCAGACCCGAGCCTGAGCATACTCAATGGGGCCCTGCAAGGCCACCTGGGACCAGGCTGGGTCCTTGTACAGCGTGGAGATACACCTGAGGATGAGGGCATGCCTGTGAGTTGGGGACAGGGAGCCTGGCAGGAGTCGGTGAGTGACCCCTCTTCCCTGTCACTTGTACCTGTTGCCCCATACCTCTACTCAGAGGACTCAGTCTCTTCCTGCCCTCCCAACCCCTTTGGAGGCAGGATCCTCGCTCTTCCTTAGGGACCTCATCAGATCATAGGTCACATCACTGCCCATCTCACCAGGTGGACCCAGAGACCCCGCTCAGGTAGGTCACAGTGTCCAGAAGGCCAAGCTCCTGCAGTCCTGCCAGGCTGCCATACAGGGAAGACATGGCTCGAGTTCCACCCCCGGAACCCAACACAGCTACTACAGGCACCTGGAACAATAAAAATGGTAACAACTATTACCATTTCTGTATTATTGCTTATACATGTCAGACTTTATTCTAAGAAACTTGCCTATATTCTAGCATTAGATCTTCACAACAACTCAAATGAAATCCCCATTTCACAAATGAGGAAACTGAGGCACAGCTTAAATAAGGCACCTAAGATCGTATAATTTGATGAGCTATCAAACCCAAGCAATATGCTACATATGTCTCTTAGCCATTATAATAGCAGGAAGGTATGTGCCGGGAAGATATATTTGATTTACCCCAAATAGTTAAAGTAGGTTTCTCATTGGTTGGCACTACTGATACTTTGGACCAGATAATTCTTTGTTGTGGCTTGTAGGAAATTTAATGGTGTCCCTGGCTTTTTCCTAGTAGTATCACTCTATATTTCCCCCATTCCATAGTGACAGTAAAACATCTCTAGATGTTGACAATGTCCTGGGGGGGGGTGCCAAAATCACCCCCAGTTGAGAGCCACTAAGCTAAAGTGACAAAGACCAGCAAGCAGCCTGAACCAGAGGGGTACAAACTCTAAGGTCCTCTTCAGGATCAGAGGTGCCTGGGAGGACCAGATTTGAAACTTTTGGGCACTCAGCATTTCCACAAAGGTTTGGCTACCCCAGAATTTCAGTTCCTTTCCCTGTCTTTTTTTTTTTTTTTGAGACAGTGCCTCAAGCTATCCCCCTGGGTAGAGTGCCGTAGCATCACAGGTCACAGCACCTCCAGCTCCTGGGCTCAAGCAAGTCTCCTCCAAGTAGCTGGGACCACAGGCGCCCGCCACAACGCCCAGCTATTTTTTGGTTGCAGCCATCATTGTTGTTTGGTGGACCCGGGCTGGATTTGAACCCGCCACCTTAGGTGTATGTGGCTGGCGCCTTAGCCACTTGAGCCACAGGCGCCAAGCCACCTTTCCCTGTCTTGAGAAAATGCTCCCTGGGTACTGCTTGCCAAGGACACTGTTGCTTCTAAGAGCTGGGTGAGACAGAGGAACAATCTAGCGCTGAGTGGGCATGTGTATTGCCTGAACGAACCATCTAAGCTTGCTCAGCTTGTCAGCACTGGGCACAGGCTCCGTCTCCTGAGCACACATACAGGAGGAAGCCACCAGCTGATGCTGATCCTGATCCACAGCTCTCTCTTGCACCCCTTCCCCTGCCTCGCAGCCACAGGCTGCCTGTTTCTACGCCCAGAGGGTCCCATGGACCCTCCACCTCTAAATCCCTTTGATGACTGTTATGGTCTCAATTGTGCCCCGCAAATTCATATGTTGAAGCCCTACCGCCTAAAGAGACTATTTGTAGAGAGGGCCTACAAGTGAGTAATAAAGGTAATGTGAACACTTAAGGATAGGGTCCTAATCTGATAGGACTGGTGTTGTTAAAAGAAGAGGAAAAGATACCAGAGAGCAGGCTCTCTTTCTCCACACCTGCTTGGAGAAAAGGCCACGTGAGGACACAGAAGGCCCCCTCAATAGGAGAAGAAGGCCCCATCAGAAGCCAACACTGACAGATGGCAACCTTAACCTTGGACTTCCAACCTCCAGAACTGTGGGGAAATAAGCACCTATTTTTCTTTTTGGCCGGGGCTGAATTTGAACCCACTACCGCCAGTATATGGGGCCGGCACCCTACTCCTTTGAGCCACAGGCGCCACTCAAGCATCTATTTTTCAAGCCACCCAGTCTGTCATATTTCACCTAAGCCACCCAGTCTGTGGGATTTAGTTTCAGCAGCCTGAGCAAACTAAGAAGACATCCACCCTTGGCCAGGGCTGCTCAGGGGCGAAGGTTCCACACAGGGTCTTGACTCTCCTGATCACACTCATCGGCTCAGGCAAACAGGCTGTTCCCTACCTCCTATGACCCCATGCTTCTGCTGGGCTTTCTGTCACCTCTTGGCCATACTAGTCCTTTCAAGGGAAGAGTGACCTGAGAACAAGATGGAGTCCTCCTCCATTCCGTACCTGGTCATTGTCCAGAGCTTTGCTTAATTCCAGCACCTGTTGCAGAGCCTTCGACACAATCTGCTTCCTTTTATCCAGAAACTCCCGCTCTCCGTCACTGAGGTCAAAGCCAAGGCGCACGTCCAGGTCCCCAGAGCTGCCTCGAATTGGGTGGGGGTGGGTGACTGTCCAGTGGAGGAGGGCCTCAGGCCCAGCTCACTTTTCACAGGAGCAGGCCCTCACTCGGAGGCCCCTCAGAAGCATCCCAAGGGGCTCCCTACCAGCATGAGAACCTCGGAGGGAGAAGCGTCCTTCCACAGCCTGAGCTTCATGGGCTGCAGAGCAGAGCAAACTGGGCATTTCCCCACACCTCCAGCCCAGCCCCAAGAGGCTTTCTGTGTAAAGTTCCTCCTCACCTCTTTTCTACCTTCACACTCAGAGCCACCTCCTTGCCCTGAAAGAGACAGCAACCCCATCCCTGAGCATGCCAAGCAGGATTCTCCCAGGGAGGTGGTACTCCCACCTGCAGCCCCCCTCGCTCTTGGTAACTCTAGCCCAATGTGGACAGCATGCCAGAGCTCCAGGCTGGCCTGATCTTCCCTGCCTCTCAGGCCCTGCTTACCCAGCCCTCTCTTGGCGATCACAGAGTAGCACCGAACAGAGCCTTACCTCCCCTAGGGCCACAAAGCACTGGTCCTCCTGGCCTATGGGCAGAGAGGAGAGCAGGATGCTACCCTCACCCAGCCTGCTGGTCTGAGCCTCCAGCTCTGTGTTCGGGCCACTCTGGGAGGAGAAAACACCTGAGGAGCTCTCCAGCGTGGAAGAAATGTGCCTCCAGGGTGGCTCTGGAAGCTCCTCGGAAAGCTAATTCTGTGATCACGCCCTTCGTCCATGGTTCACTCACCTGCAGAACCCTGAGCTCCTCCACCAGCTCCACATCCAGCCTAGAACTCAGCACCGGGTTCACATGGAAGGTAAAAGTTGGTGGGAGGCCTGGTTCTTCGGGAGGCTGCAGGGGCAACAGCTGCAGCTTCTCATAGGCCCCGGGCACTGCCAGCTGGAGCTGCCTAGAGCCTGAGAACAGAGGGTCCAAGTGAGTGGCCTGGAGAGGGTACATGTGGGTCTGTGCTGTGCACTCATGAGGGCAGCACCCAGGTAGCCACAACTCTTCTCTCCCCCTGGTAATGCCAGCTCTGGACATCCCAAGTGCTGTCTCACTCTCAGCCACCCTGACCATGGGGAAACACCATGAAGGACTCTTGGGGTCCTATCACCTGCCCTGGTCAGAACTGGGACCCTGGAGGAGGGTGAGAAACATACAAATGCCTAGGGAAGGGGGAAAGGCAGGGAAAGGAAAGGGAGAGGCCCCTGCTTATAGCCTACGGGGCTGGTGGTTTTGAGACTATTATATTAACTATATGATGTATAATTACATCTATATATTCATTATTACATTAATGACCAGTTTCATCTCTTGCCTCCATTTAGGATCCATGCTCATTTTCTTGGGGGAGGTTTGTGGCCATAGAGAAGATAGAAATAGGCTGTAAGTCATTCTGGTTTTTGTTTCCAAAAGTGGAAGGCCTTGGGAGAAGGTAAGGGGTTTTGCAGAAGAGATCAAAGGAAGAATGGGGTTCACGGGTGCAGAGAGGATGTCCATCCTGGGAAAGCAGGGAGGGCCAGCAGTGTTGGAAGATGAAGCCCAGGCCAGGAGGATGAAGGCGAGGAGGGCCTGTGGGCTTTCTGCTCTGCTTCCCAGCAGCTTTCTGGGGAGGAGGCCAGAGGCCAGAGAGAAATGACTACCTATGAAAGCCAGGCAGAGGCAACCACTAAAGGCCTCACAAGACCCCCGACCCCAAATACAACATGGAAGCAACAGAAACCCTAAAGGCCCAAGGACAGCAGACACCATAGAAGCAACAGTCCAGATGGGTCCCACCCCTACAGCTGCTCCTTCCTCTGGATGAGACCCAGGGACTTGTCATGACCTTGAGGTGGGAGGGAATTAATGAAAATCAGGAAAGTGACATTTCATTCATACCAAGTTTTGTGGACTAAGATGGAGACATGTCATTTGTAAGAAACTATAATCTTTGGTTAAGAGAATAGGCCTAAGAGTGTCACAGATCTGCGTTCTCCTACTTATTGGCTGTGTAACCTTAAGCAAGGATAATGATTGTACCTTTGGGGTTGTTATGAGGATTACAAGACAATGCACATGTAAAGTGCTGAGCATAGTGCCTGACTCAGAGAAAGTGACCAATATTATGTGGGCAGGATCAGACTGTCAGCACTGGGAGGGAGCTCAGCTGTCACATAGGCTCCACTGCAACCCCACATCTGGATCCCCCCCTGCCCCATGGATGGTTGCCCTCAGTGGCACTCTACATGGATGGCCCCAGTTCTTCATTTCTCCTGCATTCTCACTCTTTGTCATGTGGCCCCTCCCACTAAAAAGGCTAACTATGTTCCCAGCCTTTCAACTTTGAATTTAACTAGGTAACCTTATCTGGCCTAGAACATGCTTGTTAGAGGCCAGGATGTGACCCAAGGCTTGACAAGCACGTGCTAAGTTGGACTTACTCTCTGCACTTGTGCTGATGCCTTGAGAACATGCCCAGCCCAATCTGCTGGTCCCAGCAGGGGGATGAGAGATACATTGGGTAGAGCCAGGTCACCCTGCCGAGCCTGGCCTCCATCAGCTAAGCCCCAGCTGCCTACCAGATGTGAGAACTAAGGAAACATTTTTTGAATGAAATGTTTTGTTTTGGTGTACATGTGTGTGTGTGTCGAGGTTCTTTGTAGAGGAATAGTTGGACTGATACAACCTCTATGCTTGAACACTCCCAGAGACAGGAAATTTGCTACTTCCTGGGGCAATCCATTTTTTTTTTTTTTTTTTTTTTTTGCAGGTTTTGGCTGGGGCTGGGTTTGAACCTGCCACCTCTGGTATATGGAGCCAGTGCCCTACTCCTTTGAGCCACCTGGCAATCCATTTCTTCTTGTGTCAGCTTTGAGTTGTGAAAAATTTAAGAACTTCCTGCCCTAGAGCCACCTCCTTGACATCAGCAGCCTCAATTCCAGGAGAGAAGATAAGACCCAAGGCCGCTGACCAGACTCACCATACTCTCGACGTGGGGCTGTCCCATCTCCACAGAGGGTGCCCTGGATTCTTAGACAGGGGTGAGCCTGAGGAAAGCAGAGGCCTGAGGGAGCCAGATAGGCCACAGGATGGAGGGAGGGAGGATGGCAGGAGAATCTGGAGCAGGGTCCAGGAAATAGCCCTTCCTGGGCCTTGCGGGAAAGAGTTTTCTGTAGCAGGCCCCAAGGTTATACCCAACCTCCAGGACTCAGGGGAAGTGTCCTTGGTAGGGAAGGGGGAGGAGGCGAGGGCCCTGATAGTGGCTCCTTGGGTAGTCTCTGAAGCCAGGGTCCCAAGCGAGTAACGTGCTATGCATAGGTAGGAACCCTGGTCTGGGCTTTCCACCTAAGTGCTAGGCTGCTTCTTGTCTACCTTTGGACATCCCTCCCTAGCCCATCTCCCCTCTGAGGAGGGGTTGAGTGGTCTTCAGAGGCAAGTGGGCATGGTGGGCTCCTCACAGCCCCCTGGACTCCTCACAGCCCCCTGGCCCGGGACAGCACCAAGCTTCCTCCCCTACTCACCACCAGGACCCCATTGGTGATGATGTCGGAGGCAGGCACCTGGCTGCAAAGGGTGAGGGGTTCATGGGACATCTGCCCCTTGGGACAGCTGTGCAATAATAATGTGACCAAAGCGGCTCCAAGAGCCTGGGAGCATGGCAGGGTTTGGGGTGGATGGACTTATCCTCTGTGCAGATGGAGGTCAAGACCAGACCATCTCCTCTCAGGCCAGCTCTGCGAGGGCAGAGAGGGAATGGTGGCTGGCAGCTGGGAGTGGCTGTGATGCAAATCTCTGAGTCTCAGAGTAAAGAGGAGGGTGCTGGCCCCACCTGGACTCACCTCTGCTCCAGAACAAACTCCACCTGCAGCTCTTGCAGATTCTACATGGAGGAACAGGGAGCGCTGGTTTTTAAAAGGCTCTGAATGCCTCTGGACAGTCCTTGCTGCCCAACCCGCTCAGCTCCAGGGATCAGAAGGGGACACTATCATTGTGGCTTTTCCAGGGAGGCTGCGTGGCATCTTCACACACAGCCTCACTTATTTCCAAAACGTGTGCTAGTGGCTATTCTAGACACCGAGGGTTCAGTGGCGACCGAGGCAATATCCTGCCTTCAAGGAGCCCACATTTTGTTTTCATCAAGGAAGAGGTACTGGAGGGAAGCCTTAGGAGGATGAGAACGACAGGACGGAGGAGGGCCTGCCTGTCTGTCTTCCCAGAGCCCCTCATGGCCCTGTGCTGGGCCTCCTCTCCTCCCGCCCAGCTCTCCACCAACACCGGTGGGCTCACCTGGTGGTCAAGTGCGAAGGTGTGTCTGTGGGGCTGGCCACACTTGAGGCTCCCCAGGTCAAACAGGAGCAGGGAGAGCTGGTCGCTCCCCAGGACATCCTCATCATAGAGGGTGAGCTCCAGGACGTTCTGGGAAGGGGATGGGCAGGAGTTGGGCCTGAAGTAGGACAGCAGGTAAGCAACCTGAGGCGTTCCTCTCCTGCCACAGCCCCTGCCCCGTAGGCCCCACCTTCAGGGCGCCATGGATCTGGTAGTGGAAGGTCTCGTTCCACTCAGGGTCACTGCAGTTGGCCACTGTTTTTGTCTGGGCAGGGCTGGGGGATGCCGTGGGCAGCCACAGTTGCACATAGCAGTCAGCTTTGGACACTGCAGGTGTGACGGGAGAGGACCCTCAGCCTCAACCTCTTATAGCAGAAAGGTTTCCTGTGGGAAGCTGGGGCCAGGAGGCAGGGAGCAGAGCAGGGAGAGGAGGCTGCCCACGGCATGGTGGGTTAAGGACACGGGGGAGAGTTTTGGTGTCCTTGACTCCATCTTGGTCAGTTACACCTCCCATTCAGCTGAACAGAAATCTGCAGTGACTAGTTGGAAAGAGCACATGGCCACACAAACCACTGAGTAATTCCCAGATCCTGCCTGACTCAGGCACTCAAATACCCTCCCTGTGTAAGCGCTGGCATGGAGTTGCCAGAAGGCAGGTGTTGACTTGTGGTGACAGGTGGCACCAGCAGGCCTCACCCCTTACCCCGGGAGGGACTTCCTAGACTCAGGCAGGAGTCCAGGGTCAGCACAGCTCCCTGCTCCAGCCCTGCCTGCCTGCCCCTCACAGGGCCAGCACCAGCCTGCCCCCTAACTTATACTAATACACCACACTCATACTCCCTTGAGGCCAGTCCCACCTGAGCTCTGAGGGGGCCCCAGGGGAAAGGAAGAAAGGAGTGAAGAAGAGTCACTCACACAGGTCTGTGTGCTGGATATTTCTGGCCCTCAGCACCTTCACCTGGAGGTCATAGTATGGGTGAGTTTCCCACTGAAACAACAGAACTCCAGGGACTCAGTTCCAGAGAGCCAGTGTGGGGCCTGGTCCCCTCCTTCCACTGGTTCCCAGCTCAAGAGTTCTCCACCACCACAGAGCAGAGGACTGGCACTGATGTCTCCGTTTGGGACCAGGGGAACTTTCCAGGGGTTGGGGGTTGGGAGTTCAGCACCTTGGTGATGCACTTAGACCTCAGCATTCATCAGGCCTGGGTTCAGATCTAAGCTCCAGTGTGGGACTAGCTAAACTGTGGTTATCCTGCACCACAAACTTGCAGCCCCCTCAGGCCACAGGAGCTGCAGTGAAAGCCGGAGAATGTGTTTGAAGAAATTAAATATTAAAAGAGAAAGCTGTGACCCACCCCACCTGCTAGCTCCCTCACAAAGGCTGGAAGACAGCCCAGGAGGCAGGGTGGGTGAGCTGACCGAGTTACTGGCCTGTACTGGTCTGACTAGTCGAGTGGCTGAGGAGAAGCAGCTGGGCTCAGGAGAGGTAATATCAGAGTGTAGTCTCTTAGGAGTGAAACCACCCTCACGATTCTAGCAGGCTCCCTTTTCCTTCTCCCTACAGTAGGTTCTACAGTCAAGCTAGAGCATTCTCGGCAAAAGCCAACCAAAGACAAGTGGACCTAGCCCTCCATTTGCTAATTGGAGGGGATTACTTTCAAGAGCCAAGCAAGGTCTTGGCCAATCTAATTTAAGTTCTGTCAGGTCGTCTGCAAGAAATAGGTCCACCCCAAATCAAGCCCCAGTGCTACGGCTGGTCTTGGTCCTCACAGGTGGCTGCAGCTCCCAGCATTCCTCCAGTCCACTTTCCCAGGTAAGATCAGGTACATTACCTGCCAGTGCCTCCACCGAGGGCCCCTCTTCTCTCTCTTCCCCAACAGCACTGCCCCTAGGAGAGGCAGTCCCTTGCTTGCCAGCCACCTTGGCCAGAGAGCCCAGAGCATGGCCAGGAAGCCCTGGCCCCAGCAGGCACCCTGCTCGCAGGCCACACACACACGGCTAGCTCAGGTCTGACAAGGTAGCCTTGGGCTGGAGAGGGTGGAGCTGCCACTCTGCTGAGGAATCAGGGCTGGGTGGCCCACTGGGCAGGAGGTGGGGTTTGACATATTCTAGAAGTGACTGGCACCTCGTTTCCTCAGGCAGGAGGCTGTTCAGTCACTTTCCAAGACTCTTGAAGTCTCTGTTTACCACTCTGGTTACCAAACCCAACTCCCTGGTTCCCAAACTGCTGCTTGTGAAAAACAGACACCCGAGGCTCACCCCTCATGATCTGATCAAACGTGGGTAAAACCAAGTACTCCCATTTCCAACAAGCCCTGTAACACAGACAGCCCAGGGCAGGCTGGGCATTACTGTATCAGGGACTAGTTTCCAGCTGTCAAAAAAGGCCTAAACCAATCCCCTTAAGTCCCACCTTCCGTGTGACTCTTAAGCAAAAGCATGTAAATTTTTGGTTAGTGCATCATCTGGACTCCCTTATTTCCTCTCCAGACCCTGAGAGCCTGCTGCCTGCCAGACCTGTGCTAGACCCAAGAACGCAAAGGTGAGGAGCGTCCATCTACATCCTGAAGAAATTCATGGCCTTGTGACTCCATGGCCCAACCTCGCCCTGGATTGTGTACAGAGCACACTGCAATGCCCAGGTAGGAATTTGATCAGGTAGTACTAATAACGGCAGACAAAAAACAAGTCTGCCTGCCCTTCAGCTACTAGACGTAAAGGCTTTTGACCAAACTTTAGGCTACAGATAATGTGATATCCCCTTTCCTGTGGGCCACTCTAGGTGGCTGAGACAGGGGGCAGTGAACTGTGGGAGACAGATTTCTGTCCCTCTACTAAGAGTCAATCATCTCCATAGTCTTCCCAAAGCCTAGAGTCAAGGCTGCAAGAGAACATCCAAAAAGCAGGTAATTCATTCCTGAATGGATCAACAGGGCAAGTTCTGATCAGAAACTCCCAGAATAGGGAATGTGACTGCCAGTGACCAGGCCCCAAGGGAAGGCCTGTTTAATTTGGACTGTGAAGCTAAGAGCTGGGCTGGGGTCTCAGAAATGGTAGTCTAGCCCCCTTGGTTATCTCTGTGAGTATATGAGGGGACCTGTGGATCCACACCAGAGGAGCCCAAGGCAGGAAGGCAGAGCTGGGCAGTGGCAGAGCCAGGCCTGGGCTCCAGGCTCCTGATTTGAGTACTTTCTGGGTTGTACCATTTGTACCATAAGGCTCTCTCTGGAAGTCATCTGCCTTGTACCACAATAAAGTTGTGACTTTTAGTTCCAGATGGTTTCAGTCCCAGAAAACTAGAGGGGGACAATACAGAAAGACCTTGCCTTTTTGAACCTGGCTAAAGTAGACCAATACTTCTCCACTTCTCAGACACCCCTGATGCTTCCCCCCCAGCCATCATGAGCTTCAGGAGAGGCTGATGACCCTTCCAAGAGAGGAACACTTGGATCCTCTGTAGAGTTCCAGGGTGCTCAATGGAATCTCGTGATGACAGAAATGTTCCGTATCTGTGCTATCAATACATTAGCCATTTGCCACACTTGCTGTACAGGGTGTCACATGTCAAGATATAGGTAATATCTAGCCTACAGAAGACAGCAAAAAAAAAAAAAAAAAAAAAAAGGAAAAAAAGACATGCGTAATAGAACCACTCCACTGACATTATTTTCTTAGTTACTGATTGGCTTATTCACAGTTTTTAGCTAAATTACCATCCTTTCATTGTTCTTTTTATCAAATTCCATAGGAAGCAGAAAAAAGAGACCCAGATAGGCTTGGCTTGTTTCATTAGGTTTATTCTGAGGAATAGTTAAGGTACCTTCATCTGTCTTCATTAGAGGGCTTTCATTTCAGCCTTCTCCATACCACTGTGGAGGGCAGAGTCCAGGGAAGGAAGAATGGAGTCTGGGAAAATGGGGTCGTGTTCGTACACCAGAAGGGAAGAAAACACATTTTCCTCATTCTATTGCTTCAAACATAGTTCATGAGAAAAGACGACACAGCACAGCAGGCCAGGAAAGCAGGATGGGTGGCGGGTGAGTCTCTGCCGTGCAGTAGGGGCTGGGCCCAGAGCTCCCCTACTGCTCCCAGGGGCAGCGCAGTCCCAGCTGGCACAGACGTGGCCACGGGCAGTACTGCTTCCTGGGGGTGCGTATGGCCAGTCGGACGGCGGCTTTCTATCTACGCAGACACACATACACACAGTTCCACAGAACTCTTGCCAAGTGCTGCCCAGCCTCACATACCCGAGCAGAGTCCTCCATGTCTGCAAATGGTGCTGATGGCACTCACTCTCTTCAGAGCCTCACAGACAGAAGCCTGGGGGAGCCCAGTCTACTTACCACTGGTAAGTTGGCTTGTAACACAGCACAGTGCCACAGTTTACAAGGGACAAGGCACATCAGGGACAGGCCACTAAAACTGTGGGTGTTACTCACCCTCACACCCCCTGAAGATGCTGGGGCAACAAGACTGGGAGCCTGTGAAAAGGCCAGGAGGACAGGATACAGGCCCATATCCCACACGACCCCAGCCTGCAGACCTCTCCAGCCTGTGAACCTCTGGCAGAGTTCACTGCAGGGTTTGACAGTGAGATACTTTATAAACCCGAGTGCCACTGCGTCTGCCCTCCTGCACTCTCCCTGCTGTCCCCGAACACCCCAGCAGCACACTTGGCGTCACTCGTTGTCAGTCCCTGCTCCACTCTGCCTCTGTGTGTAGCGGAGACCTACCTTCCTCACTATCCCAGTGTAATCCTCCAACCCCTGCAGAACAAAGCTGTGGAGTAATCGCTATAAAGCGGTAAGGCAAGTGAACAAACTGGCTGGAAAAAGGGAAAGGTGCCCAAAGCACAAAGCATTCCACTCACAGAGACAAAACCAACCCGCCCGAGCGCTGGTGAGTGAAGCAGAACAGGCACCTCTACGGGGCCTGGGCCTAGGGGCTGGCATACCCAGGGCAGTGGTGGCCCATCCTCACGGGCTGTCACACTTGGCCCGAGGGCAGGTAGGCAGGCAGAGAACGGCACTCCTCAGTGTCTAGGCATATAGGGTAAAGAGGACTATTTACAATGTACCCGGCAACCAACCAGCAGTGGATTCCTAGGAACTGAGACTTCCTCTTGCTTCTCACTTTACCTTGTTTACATACTAGCTACTCCTGGAGTAACGGAAGTGGGAGGGAAGGTGTAGATGGGGCAGCGAGAGGGAACGATAAACAGTGAGAAAAAAGAGTGGAAACCAATGCAGTGTGCAGGGAGGCTAGTGGGGGACACAGGGCATGGCTGCCACGGAGACACTCCTGCACTAAACAGAAAATGAGTCCTTCTGTCTATGTGGCCGGAATAGCTCAAGTGCTGTCCCCTTACATGACCCTCCAGTCAACCACGCTGAGGGGTCCTTGTGAAGTCGTGTGCTTGTCTAACAGAAAAACTCCTGATAAGCAACTCTGTGGTTTCAAACACTCGAGACATACCGTCTCATTCTGGTAACTGGTATGCAAAGGCAAGATGGTGCACGTCTTCTTGTCTAAGCAGGTTCTCAATTCTCTGGAATTGCCCACAACATAATGGTATAAGGTATTACTAATCTCTTTTTCTATTAAAAATCTGGCAATGCCAGACCACAAGTCTAAATAATTCGGAGATGGTCCAGGATGCAAGATAGCTGGTAGCGTCCAAATGCGGAGGCACCTGGTGGTGGCAGCCCACGATTCTAAGGCCAGCTGCTCCTTCCTCTCTCCAGGAGAGCCAAGCTGTCCATCTGCTAAATCCTTGGGATGCTGGACTCAGGTGTCAGCTGGGTTTACCTCTTTGGAACAGAAGTAGTGCACGACCACTCCATTGGGGTATCTGGCAAATGCACTGCAGAGAAGGAAAATGGCTTGGGAGTGAGGACTAACTCTAAGAGACCACTTCTCTGATAGCGGTCCTTTTCTTCAGAGGAACTACCCCAGAAGCAGCCCCCCCCAAACCTCAAAGAACAGCCTGCCCTGAGCTCTCTGGATTTCTGTAGCCGCCATCTCTGTCACATAACCAAGCAGAGGAGGTGGTGCACACAGTCAGAGTGAATGCAAACACATGGCAGACAGGGGGCTTATCAGCCCACAGCTCGGCACTCGCTTGCTGAGAGCCGATGAGCTCAGTAGAACAGGTATCAGGCTAATTCTAACAAAGAATGCCAATTAGGTCTTTCCAAAGAAAAAGATTCTTCCAGCCATTTGAGAAAAAGGACAAACCATTCTCCTTTGAAGGACAGGGAACTGACCAGTGCATGTCTCTTAAACACAGAATGAGGCTGGCTCAGGGCTTTACTCAAGGCATTAGGTAACAGTTTGAAAGATATTTTTCTTTTATTCAGAGGCTCACCCCTAACAAGAAAGGACTTTCTACCCACATCCATCTTTTACATACCTACTGGCTACATGGTAATTTCCAGCTGCCAGAGGTGATGAGCTTTATGGGTAAGAATTTAACAGCCCCATGCCCTACATTTCTGGGCTTCACATTCTTCTCAAAGTCCATCACCAAAAGGTAGCACGGACTGCTTTCTGAAGGCTCAAGAACTAAATGTAGTCAGGACAGCCAGCGGCCGTCTCCCTCCTCGGTTAAAGGGCAGAGATCCATCCTGCACATTCCCCACACTCAGTGAGCTCACATACGGCGGGCAAATAGAGGCTCACCTGTTTCCAATCTTCTTCTTACACACCATGCACACCTTCTCCTCTGTGATGATGCACTTCACCTGCTGGTGTAAAATCCGCTCTTCCTGGACCTGAAAGAACAAGGAGAGTCGGGCAGAAGTCCCATCACATTGCACGTAGAAACAAAAGGCAGAAGCCAGCACTCTTTCCTCTCTAACTTCACAGATTGCCCTGGAAACACTGGCAACTGAATGTCACGCTGGCTACTGGACCAGTTTGAGCTACACGGCACAGAAACAGAAGGCTCTAACTTGGTTGGAATAGGACCTGTGGACACCATCTCATACTGAGAAATGAAAGCACCCTCTCGAGTCTGGGAGGCCCATACCCTCAGGAACTCCGCATGGAGAAGGTTCTTGAGCACTTGATTGAACCGTTTTTTTTGTGCATTTTCCTCCAAGACCTTTTCTAGAAAGATGCGTATATCATTGATCTGAGTGTTTGCTGGCAGAAGGTTGAGGGCCTAGGGACAGGAACAGAGATGGGGACAGGGTGAGATGCAACGGAAGACTGAAGAAGCCACAGGGCTCTCAGGCGCTAGTCCCCTAGTCCCTTTCCACATCCTTCTTCTCATTCGCTGGTCCCAATAAACACCCTCCCCTTCCCAAGGAAGAACCCCTGACCTTGGTGGTGTCCAGTTTGCTGTGGTGCAGCTCGAGGACCTGCAGGGCAGCCTGGAGGTTGGCCTGTGGCTCCAGCAGTTCCAACTTGATGGGCCCCAGGCAGTGAATGCTGGGAGGTGACAGGTACATCCGAAGCAGGGATAGATACACCTGTCTCATACAGATATGAGCCACACACGTCAGGCTGGCAGCAACCCTCCCAGAAGCCCCAGCACTGAGCACGCCTCAAGATCAGAAGGGTAGTCTGTGGTAACAGCCCTCAGAACATTTAAAACTCATCTTCACCTTTTAAAATTTTAGTAGAGTCAAATAGCTAACTGAAGATGTTAATTGGGTATTGTTTTTCCCCTGAAACAAATGTCTTGTGTTCACTTAACATATCATTTATGAAATGCTAACACTGCAAAATAACTCAAAAAGATTCCTCATGTCCTTTGGCTTTGAAAGTTGAGACCCTGCCAACATTTTATTTTATTTATTTTATTTTTATTTTTTTTTTGAGACAGGAGCCTCAAGCTGTCCCCCTGGGTAGAGTGCTGTGGCATCTCAGCTCACAGCAACCACCAACCCCTGGGCTCAAGTGAGTCTTCTGCCTCTGCCTCCCAAGTAGCTGGGACCACAGGTGCCTGCCACAACGCCCCGCTATTTTTTGGTTGCAGCCATCATTGTTGTTTGGCAGGCCTGGGCTGGATTTGAACCCGCCACCTTGGGTGTACGTGGCTGGCGCCTTAGCCACTTGAGCCACAGGTGCTGAGCCACCCTGCCAACATTTTAGAAGGTAGGGATTAACCCAAGGTAAGATGTTATGTTTCGTACTCAGTGAGATTAGTACCACAGGGCTTTAAAACCTTAGCACTCAGTACTCTTTCAACATTTTGGGCTGGGCCAAGCAGTTTGTTATTTTGTTTTGTTTTTTAAAGACAGGGTCTTGCTGGAATGCACTGGTACAATCACAGCTTGCTACAACTTCAAACTCCTGGGCTCAAATGATCCACCTCAGCCTCTCAAGTAGCTGAGACTTCAGGTGTGTGCCACCATACCTGGCTAATTCTACTTATACAGGGTCTTGCTATATTGTCCAGGCTGGTCTTGACCTCCTAGCCATGGACTCCTTCCACCTTAGCCTCCCAAAGTGCTAGGATTACAAGTGTAAACCACTGTACCCAGCCCGGGGTGGAAAATTCTTTCTACAGGTGGAGGTTGTCCTGTGCATGGTTCAGCAGCATCTCTGGCCTCTATCCCCTAGATTCTAGCAGCATTCCCTCCCCTGAGTCATGACTATCAAGAATGTCCCCAGACATTGACAAAGCAATGTGTATTCTGGACAGATTACGTCACAACCATTAGATGTTTGCCTCAACAGGTTAACCACAGAATTTATTATGCAAATTAGGAATTTTGAGAGTCAAGAGATAGGAGTGCTATTAATAATCACAGGGACAACAGATGTAAGCCATAGCTATCCCAGGCAAATGGTTGCCCTGCCTCTCCCTCAATACATACATGCAAAGTCAATCAGCACCGTGACCCATGTTCTGTCTTATTTTCCAATTCATGCCAGTACCACCCATGGCCAAACCAGGTGGGTGAGGTATGTAAAAGGGATGGGGAAGTGCACATGTGCCCCCTGGGTCAGAGCATACTACTCACATCTTTGTTGCCATCTTTGTTTTGGTCATAGTGTTTGTGGCAGTACCTGTGAGAGAAAGTGGTGAGAGCAGGTGAGGGGACCATCTGATGAGAAGTCAACCAGGCAGCCTGCTGGAGCAGCCTAACGACAGCCAAAGCCAAGGACTGGGATAGGAGGCAATTCTCACTCCTGTAGCAGAATGTGGGGAGATGGCCTTCTTAGCCTCTCACCTCTCTGGGGTGCCTGCTTTTAGACTCTTGGGGAAGTGGGAAGACAGAGCCAACTTACTCCTCAGCCATCCTTGTATCTTTTAAGATGTGGACATAGATGAAGAGAGCTTGTTCATGTTTCCCCATGCGCCCCAACAGGAGAGCTCGTTCTTCTAAGAGGCCTGGGAGGAGAAAGGAATATAAATAACTCTGACCACCATTCTGCAATCACAAGCTTGAGGGCTAAAGAGTGGACACTGGGGCTCGGTGCCTGTGGCTCAAGCGGCTAAGGCGCCAGCCACATACACCTAAGGTGGCGGGTTCGAATCCCCAGCCCGGGTCTGCCAAACAACAATGATGGCTGCAACCAAAAAATGGCCAGGCGTTGTGGCGGGTGCCTGTAGTCCCAGCTACTTGAGAGGCTAAGACAGGAGACTCGCTTGAGCCCAGGAGTTGGAGGTTGCTGTGAGCATGATGCCATGGCACTCTACCCAGGGGGATAGCTTGAGGCTCCGTCTCAAAAAAAAACAAAAAAAACAAAGAGTGGACACTGGGGCAACATAACGTGGAAGAAAATATTTTGTTAACTAGGTTTTCTTTTCAAGGAGAAAATTATTAAAACTTTAAAAGGGGAAGAAGAAGCTAAGTAACAGGTATTCTATTCCATCTTTTTTTGTGATCACTTACAAAAACTGGGTAAAAACACTCATTCGATAGCCAAGTATATAATAACCACTACGACATACTAGGTACAGCAGATAAGATGACCAAATGCTTGGTCTCAGCTCCCATGGAAGTATACATCAGACAAATTTGTTTTTCTCAGACAAGTTTTGCCAGATTACAAAAATTGCTCAACAATGAACTTGACCAAGAACATGTTTTGAAGCAATGAACTGGATATAGCCTGGCTATTAACATGTGGTTCATACCTAGAAAAGAGATTTCTCTCAGTTACAGTATAAAAGCGAGTCTGCAGAGGGCACAAAACAGGAGTACTGACCTGACACACCTGGTTTTTCCCAGGCCCGACTTTGTGGAGGGGTGGGGAACTAGTAAAATGGAGATGAGTGTTTGCATTACCTTGGCCCAAAGTGGCTTCTGGTCCCAAGACGGACACTCACCATCAAAAGGGAAGTCACAGATGAGTCGGCCTGGATCATAGTAGCTGGAAATCTCCAAGAACATAAGGAGCTTCTGCCGGTATTCTCCCAGCTCACCCTCTTCCTCTCCAGCAGGGACTGGAGTTTTGCCTTGAAGGGAAACCAAATTTAAATGAGAAGTAGCTGTGGGACAGCAATGTGGGCTCATCAAGAAAAATGAGGGGCATGGGATTCAATGATGTCCCCATATGACCAGAAAGGGCCTCCAAGGTGGCTTCTAGGTGGACTTCTTTTAGTTTATGGTCTCTACATGAACCCAAAACATCAGCTTAGGGTTAAAAACATAAGATAAATTGGTGACACCTGTGGCTTAGTGGGTAGGGCACCCACTTAGTGGGTAGGGCACAGCCCCAAATACCAAGGGTGGCGGGTTCAAACTCGGCCCCAGCCAAACTGCAACAAAAAAATAGCCGAGCATTGTGGTGGACACCTATAGTCCCAGCTACTTGGGAGGCTGAGGCAAGAGAATTGCCTAAGCCCAGGAGTTGGAGGTTGCTGTGAGCTGCAACGCCATGGCATTCTACCGATGGGGATAAAGTGAGACTCTGTCTCTAAAAAAAAACAAACAGGGTGGCACCTGTGGCTCAGTGAGTAGGGTGCCAGCCCCATATACCGAGGGTGGTGGGTTCAAACTCAGCCCCGGTGAAACTGCAACAAAAAAATAGCCGGGCGTGGGTGCCTGTAGTCCCAGCTACTCGGGAGGCTGAGGCAAGAGAATCACCTAAGCCTAAGAGCTGGAGGTTGCTGTGAGCTGCGATGCCACAGCACTCTACTGAGGGTGACAACGTGAGACTCTGTCTCTAAACAAATAAACAAACAAACAAAAAATAAGCTAAATAGAAAAATACTGTGGTAGGAAAACCTGTTTATTATCAGCACAGCTGTCATCTGGTAGACAAATCTGTTCCTTTTGCCGTCTTCCAGGAATGACTCTTAGTCACTCAGAGATGCCTGTTCCCAGGTAAGAGCTCCTGGGTCGCTTAGCTCCCCTGGATCCTCTGAGGAACTTCCCACCCTCCTGGATCTGCTTCTGTGTACCATGCACGGCACCCAGGTCTGTGCTTGCCTCTAAGGCTTAGGACAAGTGGCTTCCCATGAAAACTGGTACCTGCAGGAAATGACAGGAGATACTCCTTCATCAGGCCTTGGACCTTCTCACAGTACAGCTGGATCAGGCAGTTGTGGAACCGAGAGCCCGTCTCCTCCCAAACGTGGATGATGTGTTCCTGACGTGAGATGTAAGTCTTTGTCACTGGCACCCTCTAGACTATGACATGGTCTCCTAATTTCTCTCACATTTTTTAGGGCCCAACAGGTCCCATCCAGATTAATCACTAATAAAGCTGCAGAGATTTCCAAAGAAGAGTTCTTCCAAAACCACTGAGAAATTTCACAGTGCAACCCAGTAATATCAGAAATTATTATTTTTGCAGCTTTGGCCGGGGCCGGGTTTGAACCCACCACCTCCAGTATATGGGACTAGCACCCTACTCCTCTGAGCTGCTCATTTCAGAAATTATTTACTCAATTTCTGGTCTAAGTTCCTTTCATTAATCTTGTCCCATCATCCTCCAAACTCTCATGTCAGCCCCTATAATTAAGGTTAAATTCTAGTACCTAAAACCTATTTGATTGTCCTGTGCTCACAGCTAAGTTTGGTTGTAGACAAATGTGGCTCTGAATTATTTTCTAAAATATCCTTCTTTTACCCCTCTGTACTTTACCTGGATATCATCAAAAGTAGTATTTCTAGTTTGGTTTACTGGGATCTCTTCAGATGAAGTCGAAATAACCCTCTTCCTTATATTCTACCAACTCCCTGTGACACAAACCCTGAATTAAACAGTCTAATACAGTCCTGGATCCTGGGCTTAAAGTTTGTTTTTTTTTAGTGCAGACCAAAGACTACATTACCAGATAAGGAACAGCCAGACCCTTGAAGTTTTCTATTAAGAAGCTGAGCACTCGATCGCGTGGCAGAGATTCCACTTCTGGGAGATCCTCAGTAAATATCTGTCAAAATAAACCTGAGTTCCAGTGGCAGAACCATCTGACTGCAGTTCTGACAAACACACATGTGTGCGAGTGTGGGATCAAACAGACAGACGTTTGGAGGGGGCGGGATGTCCAAGAGGCCTCTGGAGGTAGTGGCTGTGCCACAGACTAGGCCCATGTAGGGTCTTTCTACCCACTACACTGTTGTCTTACTATTCCCAACCTACCCTTTCAGATACCAAAGAAACTGCATAAACCCAGCCTCCTCTCCATCCACTGTTGTCCCAGATGCAACCAGGACCAACTGTGGTACCAGATAAATCCAAGGGACTCCCATGACCCACCTTCAGGCCATCTTCTGGAAAGTCTCTCAGTACCCACACTGAGTAGGAAAAAATCAAATGTAGGTTTTCTGTGCCTAGAGGGAAAAGTAAGACTTGTTAGTAGTTGATGCTCATGGCACTGCGGAGGCCAGTGGCCAAGTGGCCTCAGAATTCACTTTCCAGACAAGGGGCTGTCATGATTCCACCGAGGGACGTTTATGCTACCTGGAGTCACCACAAGGGATGGAGGGAAGCAACCAGCCAGAATCAGAAATGGAGGGAGACTGAGTCCATGTGAATAGGATCCCTTTCCCACCAACCCCCTTTCAAAAGCTAGACTTACCCAGATGCTGCAGATACTGCACTGTCCTCTCGTGGCCTTTCAGCGGGGAGTTTGCTTTCTTGGACTGGTCTACCAGCACCTGCAGAGCTGCCACAACACCCGAGAACAAAGTCATGGGCCCTTGCCCAGAAGAGATTTATTGCAGTTCAGCAAGCTCCCTCTACCCGGGCCCCACCCCAGTCACCTTTCTCGTGGAGCCCTTTCTTCTCATACAGGATTATTAGCTCACTGTACTTGTGAGCCTTCTTCAGCACGTGCTCACTTTCCTCGATGTGGCAATGATTGTTCTCCAGGCGCAGCAAGGGGGCCACTAGGGCCATATTTGTCTGCAGGAGGAGCAGGACTTCAGTGGAACCTGTTTCCCAGGGAGCCCCACCCCTCCCTAGTCCAGGCCTGCTCTAGGCTGAAAGGCCAGGGGGTAACACAAGCAAGAGAAAGCAAGCAGCCCTTTTTCAGGATGGCAGGTAGTGGCTTTGAGAGCACTTATGCCATTTTGCACAATGTGTCTTAATGTTGTGAGGGAAAAGAGGGAGATAGCTTCTTAGAGAAAATGCTGTCCCTGGTAACCTTTTAGCAATAGCCCGAGAGAAGAGTCTAGTGTACAATTCAGGATCAGTAACTTGCCTTATGCTCTTAATTCCAAGACACTCACAGATATCAGAGACTAGGGTGCTCCTAGCACCACAGATCTCAGTCTTACTGGTGGCAGGTCCCCAGGTATAGTGCTCCCTCTCAATTTCCTGGACTTTAAAGGCAAGGGAGGCCTGTGGGCACCTGAGTGCTCAGGTAACTCACATGGAGGTAGCACTTGAGCAGGGTAGTGTCGATGATTTGCAGCAACTTCTTCTTGGATTTGATGGTGGGGGTGCCTTCCATCAACGGGGAGGTGCTAGACTGGTGGTCAGAGTCATTCAGCTTCTTTACCAGTTGACTTCTTTTCTGTAAGAGTTAAAAATATGAGGCCAAGGCCAGGACTAAGTTTTCCTTTGTCACTTGAGCTATTGGGTAACTCTGAATACTTCTAAATCAGCTTGTGCCTATCAACCCTGATCTTGCACTGGCATTCAGTTTTTATCAGAGATTAGAATTGATGACTATTAAATGGCCACAGACACAACAACAATAACATTTATTTATTGAGTACACTAAGCACTATGCCAGGCATTTTCTTAAACTTAAAACAAATGCAGGTATTATCCCCATCTTACAGATGGAGAATCTAAAACACAGATGTTAGATATTTCATAAATGGCAGAAACAGGGTTCAAATTGATGTCTGATTACAAAACCCATGTTTTTATTTTTTTTAAATCAAGTTTACTAAGCTATAATTTACATATAATAAAATGTACTCCCCCCCACCCCCGAGACAGAGTCTTACTACATGGCTCTGGGTAGAGTGCTGTGGCATCAGCATAGCTCACAGCAACCTCAAACTCCTAGGCTCAAGCGATCCTCCTGCCTCAGTCTCTTAAGTAGCTGAAACTACAGCTGGGACAATGCCTGGCTACCTTTTATTCTATTTTTAGTAGCAATAGGATCTCACTCTTGCTCAGGCTGGTCTCAAACTTCTGAGCTCAGGTGATCTACTTGTCTCGGCCTCCCAAAGTGCCAGGATTATAGGTGTGACCCAGCACGCCTGTAACAGTATACTGTTAGATGCATTTTGACAGATCTATATATACACGTAACTACGACCTCAATGAGAAACGGAGCATTTCTATCACCCCTGAAGGTCCCCTCATGCTCTTCACTAATAACCCTACCCAGCCCCCACCCATTGATCTGCTTTCTTCACTGGAGATTCACTTCTGCCTATTCTAGAACTTCATGTAAGTGGAATCATCCAGTGTGTATTTTCTTGCATCTGGCAAAGCCCAAGGTCTTGCTCTGCCACCTCTCTGGCACTATACCCATGTCAGTTAACCTCATGCATTCCCAAAGCCAGGAAAGAATGCGTGCTCACCTTCCTAAACCTCAGACAGTGGCAGTGGAGGGCCTTTCATAATGCCACAGGCTTTGAGACATATTATGCCCAGGAATCTTTTTTTTTTATTAGCACAGGGCGGAGAAGTCTGCAGACAGAGGTGAGTTTGCGTCCTTGCAAGGTGCCCGCCACAGCTGGGTAACAACGTCAAGAAGTGCCAAGGCCACCTATGCCTGATCAGACTTGCAGGTACTCACTGACCCAGTAGCTGGGAGTAGAGAACAGCGCTATAATTTTACCAGCAACACGTCTCAGTGCCTACCCAGAGACCCCTTACAAATGTTTACAGAACACTAAGAGGAAAAAATATCAAGAAGACTTGTGACTTTGAATGGGTACACAGAAAACGAACAGTCACCTGTGGTGACAGAAGTTTGGGGTGAAGAGGTTTCACTGCAGATGTCAGTCTCAGTGCTGACTTTAAAATTTCACTTGTCCATCTATAACAGCTAAATTGAAAAAAAATGTTAAATCTAAATACCTCCCAATACACCATGTTATAGAAGATTATTCACAAGTAAGAATTTTCCCAATATTTGGCTAAATTTCTAAAAAGCTATAAATTGGAGTGTATAGTTTGATATTATTTACAGTAAATAAACCAAGAGATGAAAAGTGAATTCATAAGTAGATAAAAAAAATCTAGAAGAACAACACTAAAACATTCATTCTTTATACTCTGGTGATAATTTTTGGTGATTTGTATTTCTGCTTTGAATTTTTCTATGTCTTCTGCATAGAACAAGTATTTTCCCCCAAATTATATTTGTTACAAGAAGTTTGTTTTAAAAAATCTTGTTCTCTTCTACTAAAATTTACCATTTTTAGTTCTTATAAATTTACTAGGAATTGGATGTTCCTTGGTTTCAGGATTGGGGGAAAAAAAAAAGCTCAATGGTACTGAGAGGCTGTAAGCACAGAAACAAACTGTGCCCCTCACAGACTTATCACAAGCACTCACGTCTGCGACGGCTTTGCATTACAGGAAGCCCCTCCATTCCTGGCCATGGAGAAACAAGTGCTGGAACTCCCAGGTCAAGTCTTCCATATGCTTCTGTATTATACCCACCTGTGTCAGGTAGTCGATCAGGGCTAAATGAGCCTTCTCCAGTTCAGCCCCCGAGAGCACGGGCAATGGGTTTGGATACTGCAACTGCTTCCTGTAGTCTGTGGGCAGCAGGTCGGGGTACAGGCCCATCACGTGGGTGGGATCTGCATGGAAGGGAAGCATGATTTCTCCGGAAAGGAGCCCAGTCATTTAAGGATAAAGTAAACTAAGACTGTTACTATAGCAAAGTAAGTTCTGGGCTGATTTTTTAAGTTCACAAAAATTCAATGAGCTCTACACTTACACTTATGATCTGAACATTTTCTATATATGTATTTCACTAAAATGTTACAAAAATGGCATGACTTTATGTTCTAAGACACAGACACATACACAGAACTCAATATTTATCAGTACAGGATAAAAAAATCTCCAAGGAAAAGTTGAGGACATCAAAGTGGAAAAGATCAAGAGACTTAAAAAATTGATATGTCAAAGAAGAATATTCTTTTTCAAAAATAATCAAAACAACAGGCTAGGGAATATATATGTAATATATATGGCAAGAAGCTAATATATTGATTACCTAAAACAGATTCACACAAATTGATAATAAAACATAAAATTTCTCTTGATAAATGGGCAAAAGACAAGAATAATTAACAAAAGAAAAACATAAATAAGTGGGAAAATGTTCTGCTACATTAAGAATCAAAATGATACACATTAAAAATGTCAAGGAGGGGACGGTGCCTGTGGCTCAAAGGAGTAAGGCGCCGGCCCCATATGCTGGAGGTGGCGGGTTCAAACCCAGCTCCAGCCAAAAACAGCAAAAAAAAAAAAAAAGTCAAGGAGGGAACTTTGTTCTAACTTCTTAGAATTTACTGCATTCTTACAGGTATAGATGTTTGTAACGGCAAAATGCTGACAGTGGCCAACATTTCCCACTACTCTACCACTGGGATTGGTTAGATACCTTACAGCACCATCAACACTGTGGAATACCATGTTTATGGTCAACTAGCACTTAGTATCTATTTCTATCCCCTTCTACATTCTTTCCTACCCACAGGGGCTATACAACTGAAAACCACTCTTCTTAAACTCCTTTCTGGTTCTGGGCAAAAAATCTGGCTCCACTAATGAGAAGCAGGGGTGTGAGGTGTGGAAACTGGAAGTGAAGTGGAAGCTCCCTCTTCATACTGAGCTGCCAGCTCACTAGTGTCTGCGGCCAGACTCAGCATTCCAGTCCATCCAGTCCAGCTGTGAGGTCTGTCCCTATCTAGAGTCTCAGCATTCCAGTGTCCAGTTATGAGCTCTGTCCCTGCCCACTGGTTGGATTATTTTCTTAGGATAAATTCCCAGAAGTAGGATTAGTGGGCCTCAGTACTTTTTCCTTATTGAGTAGCAATACTCATTATCTTAGCAGGTAAGAGCAATTTGGTTTCACAATATTGCAACTGTCTCATAAAAATAAGTTTTTGCTAATTAAGTGTATATAAAAATGTTACTTCAATGGAATAATATTCAGACACTTAAAGAAATGAAATTTGGTATATGTTATAATATGGATGAAACTTAAAGACAGCATGCTAAGTAAGCTAGACACAAGGCCAAATACTGTATGATCCCACTTACCATTGTAAAGATAGCTCCAGGCACCGACCTTTGTCTTCAGAAGCAAGTGGGAGCCAAACCTTTCCCACCCACTCTCCCTGCAGAGTCTGGAAGTGAGACCATGCCCTAATCCTGGCTAGTCATATCCCCTTGATCTTGGGAAGGTGATGCAGGGATGACAGGCAGTGTGGCACACACCAACATATATCCCATCCTTCCTGTTCCTTTATGTAACTTCCCCATCAAGAAGTAGAATCTGTATTTCCTTGCCTTGAACCTAGCAGGACCCTTATATATCAACAAAATACAGAAGTGACAGTCACAAAAAGCACTGAAGCTTCCACCTTAGATCTTAGCTTAGGTCTCTTAGATCATACCTTCTGAGTATGCACAAGGACACTCAAATAGCTCTATAGAGAAAGCCACTTGGACAACTATGACCCCTTAACCCATAGGTAGCACCAACTTATCAGCCATGAGAGTTGAGCCAGCTTGGAAGTGGATCCTCCAGCCCAGTTGAGACTTCAGATGATGGTGGCCCAGCTGAACCCTTCCCAAATTCCTGACCAGTGTGTATTAAGAGAGATGGATGATTGATTTAAGCCATAAAGTATTGAGGTGACTGCTTACACAGCACAAGATAGCTAATAAATTGGCAGGGGGTAATTTTATTAAGGATGTAATAACAGGGAGGTAATAGAAGCAACAGCTAAGGAGGTGGCTATGACAGTATAGGACCCCCTAGTCTGTCCTGGCTACAAACATTACAGTCTGGCATCCTGTTTCCAGCTTGGAGGGCCTTCAGAGTTCCCTTCTTCCCACCTATTCCTGAGCCTGGTCTCCCATCAATTTTATGGGTCCCTCCAACTGCCATCACCCTAATATTCCAATAAACCCTGCTTAATTTGTCCAGATTGTGCTTAAATTACTTAGAATTAGTATCTGTTGTTAACAACCAAGAACCTTAACTGATATAGATGATTACCAGCCAACAATGAGTGATAGCAGAAAAAGGGCAAAGTGATGAAGAGGAAAAAAGAATAGATAATAATATACAAACCAAGTATACATAGATGGATCTAAATTAAGCAAAAATGGAACATAAAGAAATGAAAAGTTTAATAATAAGAAGAGCAAACATGGCTCGGCGCCCATAGCACAGTGGTTACAGCACCGGCCACATACAGCGAGGGTGGTGGATTCAAACCCAGCCTGGGCCAACAAAACAACAACAACAGCCAGGCATTGTGGCGGGCACCTGTAGTCCCAGCTACTTGAGAGGCTAAGGCAAGAGAATTACTTAAGCCTAAGAGTTTGAGGTTGATGTGAGCTGTGATGCCACGGTACTCTACCAAGGTGACACAGTGAGACTCTGTCTCAAAAAAAAGAAGAACAAACACTTAAGTGCCACACGTTCTAAGCACCTCATTTGAGCGGCACAGCAACATGATAAGGAAGCAGTATTTCTATTATCCTCCTTTCGCAGAGGAGGAATCAGAAGCACAGAGAGATCAGGAAGTGAGTTGGAGCTAGGGAGTCTCCTCCAGGGTACCCGCTCCTCACCACAATGCTCTCACGTCTACAGAAGTTTTAGGACACTAAGGAAAGGAAGGGCTTCCTGTGTAGGCTCTCAAAAATGACCTATGGTTGAATCCAAGGACTTCTTTATCTAAAACAGCATTTAATAAACACTAGCTGATCAATTGCCCATTTGTTGAATTGAATAACCTGTTACCTGTCTCTGATGGTGAAGGCAAATCATCCTGGAAAAGTCTGCATTTATGGGTGAGACCAGATTCCTAAAATTAGGATTATAAACACGTAACCATTGTGGCCACCCGCAGGATCTTGTAGGTATAAGGATCAATTTGGCGAAGCATAGATTTTCCCAGTTCTCTGAAGTCTAGTATCATCTCTCCCTGTCCTTTCCAGGGCACCCCTCCATTAGCTCCTCATCCCGAGGCTGCACCCTTGTTACCTGTGCCAAGCTTAGCAAAGACCTGCATGGACTCATCAAAACGCTTCTGGCAGAAGAGGTTGAAGGCGTACAAGTTCTTGATGTGATGGATTTGTTGCTGCTTTTCACTGTCAGAGTCATCTTTCATTTCCTAATCAGACAGTGGAACAGGAAAGAGCTCAGTCACTCAACAAATATTTATTCAGTAGGTTCTAAGTGTCAGACAAGATTCTAGGAGCGACAGATGCCAAAGTGTCTAAGACAGTGACCTGCTATCTGCCCTTGCAGGGTGTTAGTAAGACTGCTAAGTAGTTCTGCAATTATTACAGTAAAATACAACAAGGTGGCTAAGAAATCCCCAGCCAGTACTCCTGGAAATTGTCATGGTGATGAGAAATAAGGGAAGATAAAAAAAACTCTGGAAGAGCAGAGGACACTAAGGACATATGATAACTAAATGCAATGTGATTTCTGGATTTGATCCTAGAATAGAAAAAAGGGCATTAATGGAAAAATGGGACAAATCTGAATAGTCTAGAATTTTAGTTTAAAAACAAAAATCAAAAGAAAACAGGGTAAAAATGATGACAGAAGCATGTGGGGAGGTCCCCAGTTCAGTCTGAGTAGGAGGACTAGGATGGGTTCCAAAAGGAACCTAACTTGAAATGTAAAAGATAAGGTGGAGTTAGCCAAGCACAGCTGTGCAGGTGACAGAAGGGAGGGGAAGAGGATCGTGTGCGATATGAAGACAATTAATGACAGTTAATGACACGGTGGGGCATGGGGGAAAGGGAGACCAGAAAGAGAAGGAGGGAGGGGGTATATGGGCAAGGAAAAAAAAATAAAGAAAATAATGACTAATTCTCATATAAATTGTATTAATTTTGGCCAAAGTACATTACTTAGACATTAATTTTTAATTCAACATGTTAATATGATGTTTATCATATTGCATCCTCATTTATAAGTGAAATATGTTTGTAATTTCCCCTTTATAATAATATATTTTCTCCAATTTTAATATCAGGTGTATCCAGATTAAGTAGAATGCTTTTAAAGTATCTCTTTTTCTGTTGTCTATAAGATTTGGCATGATCTGTTTTTTTGAAATTATCTTTTACTTTTATTTATAAATATTAGTTGTTTTTGAGACTTTGGAAAAAACAAAATAAGAAGAAGTGAACTGATCAAAGTATTCTATAATAGACATACTTCTATCTGACAATGGGACTGTTACTCTCTTTGCATTATTACTATTATTGCTTAATATTTTGTTGCAGCGATCGTCTGATTCCTTTTCTGAATGTATTTATCTTCATTCATTCTTTATGAGGATTTTGTTCTCAGTCCTTATGTTAAACATTGTTATTGTCATTAAATTTAGCCTTTTTAATTCTGTGAAGGCAAACGTGGAAACCTAATATACACATGTATAAGTAAGAAAAATAAATTAAAAAAAAAAAAAAGAGGAGCATGTGCGCCATAGCCAATCAACAGAGAGCAGGATGTGCTCAAGGAATGAAGGACATTTGGTGTATCTGGCACAACTGGGAAAGGTCTTGTTCACAGTAAAAGCTAAATAAGCTATTACTTATTAATTTCTTTCCTCAAAACATCTCTCTGTTTTCCCCTTTCCTGTCCTCTACTATTCCCACCACTTTAGTCCAGGTCATCACAAGCATGTGGGTGTACCCAGGTTGGCTCTTCTGCTTGGTGCTTCAAAGGCGTTCAAAACACAAACAGCCCAGCCTCCCTACATAGCTGATTCCCAGACATGTAAGCCACACTTTGTGGCTCCAAGCATGCCACACTTGTTTCCACTCCTGTGACGTCCTCTCAATCTTCAACATTCCCTGTTTCCTGCTCCTGACTTTAATCTTTACTTACCCTTAAAGAGTCAACTGGGTGGTCCACACTGCGCCTTTCCCAGCCCACAGTGAATTGTCCCTTGACACTTAGGATCAGGTTTTGTCAATGCCAAAGTTTGGTGTGTAACTGTCCTCTGAAAATTCCATGTATGTTTTCTTATTATTTAAATAAAAGATAGAGTCCTTGAGGGCTAAGATGTCAACAAACCTTCTTATCATAAGAAAGAGCAAATACTAAGAGCGAGCCTATAAAAAAGAGGGAAATATGGACATTCACTTCCATCTTCTCTACCAAGGATTAAGCAACCTATGTAGTACACAGATCACTGAAAAGACTCTGAGACCTTTCTGTTAAGAACAGACACTAAAAAGAGTTACATGTTGCATATCCTTTTTGTAAAGTCCAAAAACTATGCCAAGCACAGTGGCTCATGCTGGTTATACCAGCATTTTGGGAGGCCCAAGGTGAGAGGATCACTTGCAGCCAGGAGTCTGAGGCCAGCCTGAACAACAGAGTATGACCCTGACTCTGAAAAAAAATTTATTTTAATAGCTGGGCGTAGTGGCATATACCTATAGTCCCAGCTACTCCAGAGGCTGAGGCAAGATGATCTCTTGGGCCCAGGAATTCAAGATTGCAGTGAGCTATGATCATGTCACTACACTTCAGCCTGGGTGATGGAGTGAGACCCTGTCTCATTAAAAAAAAAAAAAAAGCAAAAAACTAAACACACTATTCACATGCACTAATGTATACGTACAAGATGAAACAAAAATATTCTTAAGGGTGTGATAAACACAAAACTTAGGATAATGATTACATCCGGAGGGGACGCAGAGGAATGGGATGGGAAAGAGCACAGAGTTTACAAAAGTTATTGCTCTTGGGTAGGGTGGTAAGTTCACGGGTACTCATTACATTATTTTTAAAATGCAAACAGAAATAAAGTAAAATGATACAGGATAATGAATAAGTAGAAAAAAGTTAGTAAGATGTTGAAATTAAATGCCCTAAGAATGTAATTGTCTTTACAAGATATTAACCATGGCTAACTATTGAGACTGAATTTCTGTTTTAAGTCCAGAACTTACGCAACCAAAGTAAATGTTCCACTTCAAAAGTCGCCACCAATAGATGACTAAAAACATATTAACTCCTCCCAAATGTGGCCACTGCCTTCCTTTTCAGAAATAGTTTGTAGGATAATCTAGAAATTCAGTTTTACTGCCATTATCTTCATAAAAGTCTCTTATTTAAAGTAGTTCTATCTGGTTTAATAACTGGGCCAGGCTAGTTTGGTTGTTTGATAAAATCAAATCCAACTCTACAGAGGAAAACAATCATCAATGACGATGTTTAAACGAATGACAGACTCTGAAGTCAATCTCTAACATGGTTTTTGGCCATGGAAGCATCTTTGGAATGAGAGGCTGGTGGCTGCTTTGCTATGAACTGTGTCCATGCAAACATTAAATACAGCAATGATCACAAATATAAGACTACAGCCTGGCTGAATGCAATAGCTTGAAGCCTATGTATCCAAACTGTTGAGAGGAATTTTGAGAGGTCTTCTAGTTCCTGCATTCTACTGGACGCTGAAATCACATTTATGATTGTTACTATATTGTGATATTTGTGTTGTCTTTGATTTTTCAGATCATACAGTATCTATTATTTTATTCTCCCATTAATTTTATAAGATAGCATTATTATAATTGGCACTTATCCTCTATTTGACAGATAAGCAAAGTGAAAAAGTCAAATCACTGAGAGTTACCTAGATATTTTAGAGCAGAGTCAGACCCTGAATATGAGCCCCCTAACTTTTATCTCTGTGCTTGTTCTACCAGTGCAAGCTAAATATGAACATCTAAACCCAACTCACCTACTTGTGAGAACAACGAGGAAGGAAGACTACATCCAGATCAAATACAGGATGAGTGCCAATTAATAATGCTACCACCAGTCAAGTATCAAGCTGGGATGCTTTACTTACTGCAAGCTGCAGAGCCAATTCAAACTGCTTGTCCTGGAGAAGCTGTTGGATTTGGGTTGCCATGGGGACAGGAATGAGTCTCCAAACAAAATGATTGCTGGCCACATAGATAATGTTTGATCTGGAGGCCGAAGTGAAAGTATTATTAGCAAAAGAACATGGGCTTTATGATGACATAGATGACTTTAAAGCTTTGGGCTAACATGGCAACCACAGTAAAAAATGAAATTCCTTACCCTCCTGAGGTAATGAAACGGGGCCTTTGCAGTTCAATGCTCTGGACCAGGAGCCTCGGCTCAAACGTTCGGATCTCCACATATCGAGGCAACACTGCGATGATGTAGGGAGGCTGGTACTCTGTTTCAGAGAGAGAACATACTGAGCTGTTGAGTCTGGACTAAGGCTTTGGGTTTACGGAATATTTCAGTTGCCCATTCTAAGCTGCACTTAAATGGATCTCCAAAAATTCCACTAATATTTAAGCCAGAGGTTCTCAACCTGTGGGTCGCGACCCCTTTAGAACAATGAAAATACACTGTGGCATTAGGAAGGTTGAGAACCACTGATTTAAGCAAAAGTACTTATCATTTAGTTAAAAAAAACATAATAATCCCACTAGTCCAGGTGTCCTCAAACTATGGCCTGTGGGCCACATGTAGCCCACCTAGGACACGTATCTGGCCCGCAGGTGTTTTTGCCACTGCTGCCTGTCCTGCTTAGCAGCCAACTCGTCCCGGGGCCTGCAATCCAGCCCTCCAATGGTCTGAGGGACAGCAAACTGGCCCCCTGTTTAAAAAGTTTGAGGACCCCTGCACTAGTCAAATATCAAGCCAGGATACTATACTATGACACAGAGAGAAAAAAAAATTGCTTTTTCTAAATGATAGTATGTAAGAAAAATGTCTTGTGTAGAAAAGTTGCATTCAGCTTTGCTGAGAGATCTGGTCCCACTCTTACCATTTCACCCAAAGACTAGATGAAAGCTTCACTTGCTCCATTCTTACCAGACACAGCTAAGCCAGAGAAAGGTCAGCTGCAGCTGCCCCATCAATGTATTAGTGGGAGAATCAGGTTACAGAACTTAAAGGGCAAAAGGAAGGCAAATTCCTTTTTCCTTAAAATTATTCCAAAAGTTAAGTCCCACATTTCTAGCCAATGCTGATTCTGCTTGAGATTTTCAGACAAAAGATACAAACTTGATGGCTGCTATAGTTTGAGTATTTTTGTTCCCTCCAAATCTCACGCATTGGAAACTTAATCCCTAATGCAAATGTTAGGAGATGAGGCTGAATGGGAGGTGTTGAGGACCTGAGGGTTAGTCCTCATAAATGGATTAGTGCTGCTAGGAAAAGGGCTTGTGGGGGTGGGTTCTCTCTCTTCTGCCACGTGAGGACAGAGTTCATCCCTCTCCCGTCCTTCTGCCTTCCACCACATGAGGACACAGCAAGGCCATTCCCAGATACCAATGCCTTGATTTGGGAATTCCTAGACTCTACAACTGTAAGGAAATGAGCTTCTGCTCTTTACAAATTACCTAAACAATTCAAAAGAACTGAAAGCAGGATCACAAAGAGCTATTTGCACAGTCATGTTCATAGCAGCATTAACAGCAGCCAAAAGGTGAAAGCATCCCAGCCAAATGTCATGGATGGAAGAATGGATAAACAATCTATCATGTAGACAGATAAGGGAATATTACTCAGCCTTAAAGAGTAAGGAGAGTCTGTCAAACGCTACAACCTGGACGAACCTTGAGAACAATAAGCTAAATGAATTAAGGCAGTCACAAAAAGACAAAAAATACCATATGAGTCCATTTATATGTGGTATCTAAAAGTAACTGAAGTCATAGGAACAGAAAGCAGAATGGTGCTGGTCAGCCCCTAGAGGGAGGGGAAAGAGAGGGGCCGTAGTTCAATGGGCACAGAGTTTCAATTTTGCAAAATGAAAAAGTCCTGAAGATTTATTGCATAACAATGTAAATATACTTAATGCTGCTTAATTGCACACTTAAAAAGGGTTAATGTGGTAAGTTTTCTGTTATGTAGTTTTTATTACATTTAAAAATAAAATTTTTTTAATGTAAAAAAAAAAAAATTAGTGAAACACCAACCACTAGAGGGCGTAATTATGATATAGAAATTTAACCTCAAAGAACATATCCATAGAAATAGTTTTAGTATAGCTAACCTATCAATTTATATTCCTAATTATCTATTATTTGATAAAAAATTTTTTTATTGTATTTAGTATTTATGTTATAAATGAATAGAAGTATAATTTCAAAGCTAGAAGGGGATGCAGAAATGAGTAACCTGAAGCCTAAGTCAGATTTCCATCATTTTAAATGCTATTATTGTGCTGATACTTTTCATCTTATCAGAAAAATAAAATTAAAAGCATGCTGTTTTGTATTAGATTTTTTTTCTTTTCTTTTCATGCTGGCCTCATTTTTTTTTTTTTTTTCCCAGTTTGGCCGGGACCGGGTTTGAACCCGCCTGCCTCGGCATATGGGGCCAGTGCCCTACTCACTGAGCCACGGGCGCCACCCCTGGCCTCATTTTGAAACATTAGTACAATTTTCTTTACTGTTAACTGGTATAAATACGTAAAATGTGTTTCTCTTTTTTAAATCTGGCTCACTTGAATGACTTCTAATTCAATTTAAAAAGTATTTTCTAACAGAAACCCTTCTGATTATCATATCATTTCGTTCAGTCTCCCCAACTGACATTAATAGTCAAAACTTGAAAGAACAGCTGGTGTGAAATAGACAAATAAGTGGCCGACAAAGATAACAATTCACTTATTCAGCAACCATTTCCTAACAGGCTCTGTAGTACTTAGTAAGGATTCAACAAAGTGGCTCAAGACATGAGTCTATTGTTAAAAAAAAAAAAAAAAAAAAAAGACATGAGTCTAGAACTCCAGAGCTCCGACTCCGTGAGACAGACTGCTGGCTGTATCCCATGTGACAGACTGCCATGACAGAGACACCTGAGTTATGGAGGCACCCAGGAGAAGTGACGAACCCTGCCTGCAGGCCAGAAACCTCACAGAGGAAGTACCTCAAAATGTGCTTCAGTCCATCAAGGCCTAGGACAGTTTTGAGAAACACTGTTAAAGGCCCCAGGAACTAACCACAGGTTTTAAAACAGAAATTCAGAAACACACTTCTAGAATACTACTTGTATCTTTATCTCATCTACCAAGGTTCCTCTTCTAAAGCAAAAAACAAGGTCCCTGAGAACATCACGAAGCCTCTTGTAAAGCCCTAAAGCCCTCTAAACTTGATATACACAATCTTGGGCCTTCTAAAATACTGTCCTTTTATTTATCATCCTCTGGTCTGTTTATCTCTAACTACCCTCTTCAGAATAACCAGCGTCTAGTAAGACATGAATCTATTGGCTTCTCAAACCTTCTCATGGACCTCTAAAAACCGGCCCTATCTTATTCCTCTATAATTCATCAGACCACCTGTTTTAGCCAGGTCAGTCTCTGTAATGCCCTCTTACAAATGATTTCCACTCATTTCTCAAACTATTCTCTGCCTGGAATAAATGGGAATTTTTCTTCAAGCCAGATCCCAAAGTCCCTGCCTGACCCAGTTGAATCTTAGCTATGTAATGAAACTATTTCCTAATTAACTAAACAATGACCTTCCCTTTTAGGGAACTACTGAGTTTTAACTCATCCAATGCCACACTTTAAGCGGTGCCTTGTTTTGTCTTTCTACCCAAGACAAAGGTGATACGCCTTCTGTCCCTAAGGACCTCTATCTCTGGAACAAGGGGCAGAAGGCATATCTGTATGCTCTGTTCTACAGAAGTAACTGTTTTAGCAATGTTCCCTCTTCTGACTGAAAAAGAAATGCTTCCAGGGTGTCAGATGCTTCCAGGCAATAGCACTGTAAGACTTGGGAGCCTGAGGCAGGAGTAGGATGAAAACAGCAAAGTGTAGGATGCAGACTGACACTTAAAAGATCTCTGTGACTCGGAAGTTAAAAAGCAACAGCAACAATAACCACCATGTGGAAAACCCTTTAACACCAATTACGTGTAGCGGAATTTCCACTAATTTCTATTCAACAGTAGACACAACAAAATCCTTAAAACAAGGTGGAAGAAAAGGAACTAAGAAGTAAAAATAGCAGTAGATAGTCACTTCCCACATTTCTGTTTACATTTTCCCCCCTCAGGAGCAAAACTCTGCTTCCTGTAAAAACTAGACTATCCCCATTTTTAATGACCTTACATCTTCATCTATTTATAAGAAGTGGGAACTGCGAGTGAATGACACAATGTAAGCCAGTCTGCTGAAGCTATGAACGGGACTGCACTCGGCAGGGATGGCACATGACCCCAGCCCAAAGCGTGAAACAGCAGCCACTGTTGCTCTCACCCATGGCCACTGGTATGTCTGTCCAGTTTAGGGCACATTTCTGTGTGCAGATCCCCTCCTCGTTGAGCACCACGGTGAGATCATCCTGACCCACAGCTACTTTTCCGTCTGCCAGAGGTGCAACTAAGGGCTCCAGCTGTTTTCCTGTTGGAAAGAGCTCTTTGATAGACCCCTTTCCATCCACCTACAGGAAGACACAAAGTCAGTCATCCAACATTCCTCCAGAAAGAGGCACAAACACAGCCTGGAAAAATCCAGATAAAACCCCAAACCTAGAGAAGCCAGTAATATTCCTTGTGTGACATAAGAAAATAATACAGACTTCATTAGAACAAACTTTGTTATCAGAGTATAAAATGAGTTCTCTTTTTTTCTAACACAGAAACAAGCATCTAGCTGGCAACTGACGACACCAGGTGCTGGCAAGAACACACAGCAACTGCAGCTCTCACCCACTGTTGCTGGGAACACAATATGGTATAGCTGTTGTGTTTGCTGGTTTCTTATAGAGTTGAATACTCACTTGCCATATGACCTGTAAGTCCCATTTCTAGGCACTTGCCCAAGGGAAATGAAAACTTAGATTTACACAAACACCTGTGTGCAAGTGTTCACAGCAGCTTTATTCATAATTGCTACAAACTGGGAACAACTTTATCTGTTCAACACCTGATGAGTGATGTATCCATACTACAGACTACTACTCAGCCACAAAAAAGAATAAACTATTGTCACACACAAGGACACAAATGAATCTCAAATGCATTATGCTTAGTGAAAGAAGCCAGACTCAAAAGGCTACATACTAAATGATCCCATTCATATGACATTCTGGACAACGTGAAACTCTTAAGAGATGAAGAACAGATCAACAGTTAACCAGAGTTTTAGAAGTAGGAGAGGCTGAGTTCAAAGAGCCAATCTGAGGGAATTAGGGGGGATGATAGAACTGTTGTGAATCTTGATTGTGGTATTAGTTACACAATTTTAGGCATTCATTAAGACACAGAACTATCTGCCAAAAAGGATGAATTTTATTGTATGTAAATTAATAAATAATTTCTGAATAGCTTGGTTCTAAAGCAAGATTTCCCTCCCTCGAGGTGATGGCAGCATCCACGGTGGTGAGAGAACTGAGCACCCACTCCAGCTTTTGGCTCAGTGTCCCCACTCCCTGCGACTCTCCCTCAGCACCTTTTTGTCTAGTTACTATTCAGTCACTTGCGCAGCAGGGACTGCTCCAGGAGTCTGTAACTTAGATGCTGATAAAACAAGGATATCCTAATAATAAAAATACAGAACGAATGTATTAATAACAGCCTGTCTTCCTGCTCAGTGGGGGACAAGAAGACAGGCTTCTAGAATGGCCAAGTCAGGGAATGAGGAGAGAGATGTGAAGCTACAAGATTTAGATTTTTCTTTTTCTTTTTTTTTTTTTTT